AGCTTCATAGCAGCACAGCAGTTCAACTCATTATATTAATAAGATGATAAGAATTCTTCTGATTTCAATGTAAGATTTAAATAATATTGAGAGAAATTAACTGATGATTTGAATCAATTAAAAATACAGCTTTATCTCATGAAGCTGACTTATAAGATGTAGATAATAATATTACAGTATCAGAGTTCATTAACTAATTATACTGAGCTTGTCAATCTGACTTTCTGAATCTATTTAAATAATCAATTCTCTGAGAAAAAGATTAATAAGATCTCTTCTAAGTAATTAATAACAGAATTTAAACAATACTATGATAACTTCAGTATGAAGAAAGTAAAGAAGAATTTCAAGTGTTCTGATTCTTCACTCACTGTAAAGAAATATTAAAAAAGATTTGATAAAGATCTCTGTTTCAACTGCAGAGCTGGTAATTACTATATCAGTGATTGTAAGAAGTCAAAGAAGAGAAGAAATCAAGAAGATATCTTCTCAAAGTTAACTTCTCTTCTGACAAACATATTCATGAAAGATAAAGAAGAGAAAGAAAAGAATTGACAATTCTTATATCTTTAAGTTCATATTATGATTACAATGCATACTCTGAATGAAGAGATATCAGTGAGATATCTACTTAACTTCAGAGTAAATATCAACTTCATATTCTATTTCTTTTCTTTGATAAAGAATTGAAAGAAGATAGATCTGTCAGATCATGTAAAATTTACTGATGAAACAAAATATTATTATTTTGACATAATTCAAGTGAAGTGTGTGACTACAGACTCAGAAGAAATCTTTAAGAAGAGCAGTCTGCTTCTTCACATAGTTAACATCATAGATGAGAATATCATTCTAGATCTCTTATGATTAAGAGAAAATAATTGTCTCATTGACTGAGTTACTCAGATATGACAGTATCATCTCACTGATGAAGAGACAGTGATAGAGAAATCTGAAGAGTTTTATTGAAAGAATCTTGAGAAAAAGATTGAGTCAATATACTGTATAGCAGGTGATTGAGACTTGAGAACAGATGAAGAAGTTATCACTCTCACTGCAAGATTAGCAGCAGTATCTGTTATTGAAGATGAACATATATAATATCTCTTTACAGATTTTAAGAATGTCTTTTCAGAAAGAGAAGCAGTGAAGTTTCCTGATATCAAGATATAATATAAGATTCATCTTGAAGACAGTGTAACAGTATTATACAGGTCTCTTTATAACTTATCTGTAAAGAAATTGAATGTTCTGTATAAATATCTTAAAGAAGTGCAATCAAAGAACTGAATATATTTATCAAAGAGTTCAACAGAGACATCTATACTCTTTATACTTAAGAAGAATAATAGACTATGTCTATACATAGACTACAGAGGCCTTAATAAGATGACAGTTAAGAATCACTATTTATTATCATTAATTAACAAGATGATCAATGAATTATCTGAAGTAAAGATATTCTTAAAGATTAATATATGAGATATCTATCATAGAATCAGAGTTAATGAAGATGATATTTAAAAAATAACTTTTTATATCAAGTACAGCAATTTTGAATATCTTGTTTTATCTTTTAATCTTTATAATACTTCAGTCATCTTTCAGATCTATATAAATGAGATACTGCAGAGCCTTGTCAATATCTTCTGCATAGTATATCTGAATAACATTCTAATCTTCTCAAAAACAGAGAAAGAACATGATACTCATGTTTGAGAAGTGTTGAGTCACTTAAGACAGTATCAACTCTATGTAAACACTGAAAAATGCTTGTTCTACATACAGAAGATTGATTTCTTAGATTATATTATTGAGATGAATGACATTTCAATGAACAGAAGCTGAATCTCTGTCATTGAGAACTGATCAGTGCTGTGAATGTACTGTAAGATACAGATGTTTCTAGAATTTGTAAATTTCTACAGATAATTCATCTATGTATATTCATGAATTACTGCTCTTCTTACAGATCTGTTAAAGAGAAGTGTGAAAGACAGAAAAATAAGACTGTTTATTCTCACTCAAGACACTGTGTAGATGTTTGTAGAATTGAAATAAGCTTTCATAGATATTATAATACTGAATCACTTTAATTCTGACTTACTCAGTCAGTGTGAGACTGATGTATCTGAGAATGAAGTCTGTGAAATCTTTTCACAGTTAATACTGAAGATCTTTCAACATTGAAAGAATCAGAGAATAATCATCTCTGAGAAAACAGATAATGAATTGTCTGTGAGAGAAGACTTTTTCATGAAGTCTATAAGATACTGTGAATGAAGATCAGTGATCTTCTTCTTCAAGAAGTTATCACTCACACAGAGAAGGTATGATACTCATGATTAGAAGATATTAGTAATTATTGAATTCTTTAAGATCTGGTGATATTATCTTCAGAGTAGTAAGTACTCAGTGTAAGTTCTCACTAATTATACAAATCTGTGTTACTTCTTGATAATAAAGAGCTTGATAGAATGTCAAGCCAGGTGAGTGAAGCTGCTTTCAGAGTATGATTTCTATATCTGATATTATTCAGATTGACTTAATCTCATCAATACACTGTCTAAACAGTCTGATTATAATATTATTAATACAGAGAAGAATTCTATAAAAGAATCTCTGTCATCACTGCAGAAGAAGCTGACTGCAGAGAATTGAAATTCTCTGAAGCTTGAGAATAGCACTGAAGAGGCAGCTGCATAACTCAGTATAAAAGATGAAAGAAAACTCAGATCTCTGCAGAGAACTAACACTGAAGATTATAAGCTTCTCATATTATATCTTATAATCATTGAATTGATAAAGAATGAAACAGTCTACAATCTTTCAATCTGACTACTTTTGAAATTTATTGATAAATTACAGAAGAGAGACATCTCTACTGTAGCTTGAATTCAGAAGTTGAAGAAGAAAGAATCTGATTTAAACTTGAAAGAGACAGACTCTGAGCAGGGTGATACTGCTAAGAAATCAAATCACTGATAACTAGAAGAATGTGAACTTCTACTACTGAATGATTCAGTCTTCATCTCTCATAGCAGAGTGATATATCAGAAGTTATTGAGAATTTATTATAATAATTCCCATGCAGAGTACTTCAGATTAGAGAAGACTGAGAAGCTTTTAAAATATAAATATATTTAAAACAAGCTCTGAACAGATGTCAAAGAGTATATTAAAACTTATAATATCTGTTAAAGAATAAAGATCTTATAATATAAGTAATATAATAAGTTAATATCACTGTCTGTTTCAAAGAGCTTATAATAGAATCTATCAATGAATTTCATAGTTGATCTGCTGAAGTTGATAAGAGTCAAAGAATATAACTCAATTTTGATCATTGTTAACTACTTTACAAAGATAATCAGATATATCTCTACTTATAAAAAGATTAAAGCCTCTGAATTGACTGATCTATTTTTAGATATTATCATTCATAATCACAGTGCTTTAAAATTATTAATAATAGATTGAGAATCTCTCTTCATTAGCAAATACTGATCAGCTTTTTACTATTATCTTATAATAAGATATCTTCTCAGTATTACATTTCATCTGCAGACTGATAATCAGACTGAATATCAGAATCAGATACTAGAACAGTATCTTCAAGTGTTCTATTCATATTATTAAAATAGTTAACTCAAACATCTTCTAATCACTGAATTTGTATATAACAATGCAAAGAATGCAATCTTAAAGATATCTTCTTTCTATACTTATTATAAATATAATTCTTTGTTATTCAGTGATATCACAGATGACATTTCAAAGAAGAGAATAGATAGTCAGAATATCAGATAGATACAGAAAACAGAGTATCTCTCAGTATTAGAAATAAAAGTGAGATTGAAACTTTTGAATAAAATTCATAAGAAGATGATGAAAAGCATTCACTGCACTTAGAAGCAGTAGATAAAATACTATAATTAAAAACATCTTTTAATGAAGTTCTTGATAGAAGATTAAGTACTACTTTTAACAAAGAATATCAAGACAATGAGACTGTATAAGAAGCTCAGTGAGTGATGACTAGAATCTTTTCTGATAATAAGAGTGATAAATAAGCAGATATATAAGTTAAAATTACTCATAGAATTGAAATTAATTCATTCTATTTTTCACATTTTCTATTTAAAGCTCTATAAGTAATATCTCAAAGTGAAGCTGTCTTAACTGAATAATATTAAGATCAAGAATGATACTGAATATCTTATGAAGAAAATATTAAATAAATGAATATATTACAGCAAGCTTCAATATCTTATTAAATAAAAAGAATATTTATTATCAGAGAATTTATAAGAACTGCTTGAGTATTTGAAAAATACTGAGAAAGAGATTGTAAGCTATGAGATGACTAGTAGAGATTACTCTGTTACATATCAGAGATATTGAGTAAGAAATATCACTTAAGACTTCTTATTTTTCTCAAAGAGCTTTTTAGAGATAATCTTACAGTAATGAGTCAGTATCTTATAGACTCTGTAACACTCTTCTTCTATTTTCTCTCAAAGAATTTTTTAGAAGTTTAATGAGACTATACAAGTATAAAATTCCTGAAGTGATTAGAGAAAAGAGATATTTGAAATTAATAAAAAAGATTAATATTATTAATCTGCAAGCTGCTGCTATTCTAGTAAGACTGCAGCCTGCTGAAAAAGTAAAAAGAGAGAATCTCAGAGTCTACTCATTAATAACTACACTCTTATCAAACTCATTCTTCATCATTGAAGTCTTCAGTATCAGTATCTTTGTCTGCTAAGAAGTTAGCACTGTGACATTACAGAAGAGTATAAGAAATGTATAAAATATTAACTTATTAACTTACAAAACATCTCAGTCATCTGCTTCAGTTAAAGTGAGATTCTCTTTAATCAGTAATTAATCTCTACAGTGCTTTCAACAGCAGCACTGACTGATCTCTTCTTAAGATTAGTTATTCTGAGATATTTTTTCATCTCAGAGACTCACACTTTTATCTTCTTTTACAGATGAGTAAGAGAGATCTCTTCAGTCTTGACAGAATTCATCAATACTTAAAGCTTCAAGATTCTCACTCTGTACTGCTTGAACATCTAGACTTCTTATCAGAGTTAATATAATGTCTTTCTGTGAGATAATACTTACAGAGAGATAGAAGTCATTGTTACAGATATAACAGAAATAACAGAAGTGAGAGAAGAGATAAGTGTATAAAATTCTCTTCTTCTTCAGCTGCTTAGTATAGTGTAGATAAGTAATAGTGTCAGTCAGAGACTGCACTGAAGTCTCTTCACAGAGAGAAGATGAAGAAACTGTAGAATTCTATGAACTCAACTCAGCAGTACTTCAAGCAGAGCTCAGGCATGTCATGAAAGAGGAACTACAGATTGAGCTTCTCAGAGTCACTGTCTCTGAAATCAAGCTCTCTCTGAAGTCCTCTCTGAATGATCACATGAGGTCATATGTCACTGTGTTGATTGAGAGGAGAGGTGGCATTGCAACAATGATGGAAAGAGCAGGGAATGAACTGAATGCAAACAAACCAGCTAGCAGAAGAGATGACATCCCACTGCAAGGTGCGGCTACTACTGCCACAGCTGCAAGAGATGCAGAAGAAGAAGAAGGTATGGCAATGAGAGCAGTGCTCCCGCAGCTCATTGACATCATCTTCATCTTCAACCTGACTTTCTTGACAGTCAGAGAGGCTGCAGCTGCATTATGAAGACATTTACTTACTAGAAAATATCAGAATAAGCTCTTGATTGTTCTTCAAGAATGATACTCTTATACACTCACTGTTGTGATTGAGAGAAGGAGAAGAAAAATGTTTCATGAGAGAGAGAATCTTTTTGAAAAATCCTGTCACTACTGTTAGCTTTGTTTCTAAAAACATATCACTTTTGCAGAGAATTTTATATGTAGAACAGAATATATTGAAAGATCTGTAAGTCACTTATTAACTACATTTTTCACATTTCAAATTGATATATAAGAAACTCACTTATCACATGTTTAATTTGAATAATGATGAAAAAAGAAAGATCTACACAGTCAGCAGAACAACTCATCTATTTCTTTATACAGTATACACACTGTAAATCAATTGATAACTGTTGCTATACAACAAAGATAATTTCTAATCTGAAAATCTTGAGAGCATCAGAACTATGCTCTTAAAGAAGAGAGTATTATCATGCCTCTGATCATGCTAAGACTCTGCTGCAGTTTCATATAACTTATTACTTTCATGCAGATAATTTCATTCATTCTGCAGGCTATCTGAACTGGTTTTCAATCACTCTATGACATTATTTGAATATATCATAGAAAGATTCAATTGATGAATATGAGAACTCTACTTCTATATAAGGTCAGCAGATTACTTTTTCTTGACAGTGAGATGTCACTGAGGTATTACTTCAGCTATTCTCACTCATGAAATGAAAGAAGATATTCATTCATTGTCTATATAGAATAGCTAGATACTGGTTTCTCATGAAAGAAGTCAGTGATTTATCTTTTTCTTCTACTGAAATATATATAAGAGTTACTGCATGCCTCATACAATCTTCTTAGTATACTAAGTACTATATCTGTGATATTCTCACAATAACTCTGTAGTCTATGAGCTCGCTATTCAAGTAAGATAGTCAAGCTCACTCATACAGCTTCTCAAACAACTATCTCTACATATCGCCGCTGACTAGCCACTGCTTCGGTTCCGCACGTTACAGCATTCCGGGGATGATATGTTCTGCAGATTGATATGATGACTGCTTTTTTAAACACTCAACTACCTGCTGATGAACAGATATATATAAATCAACTCACAGAATTCTGTGAAGACTGTGATGATCTTGTGTATGAGTTGATGCAGAGACTCTACAGTCTTAAGCAAGCAGCACTCTTATGATATGAGAAGCTGTGAAAGATGCAATTGCACTCAGGCTTCTGTGTCAGTCTCTATGATGCTGAACTATTTATTCACAATGAAAGACAGATCTATATAATCATCTATGTGAATGATATTCATCTCTACAGCTTAAAAATCAAAGATCTGAACTGGGCCAAAGCTGAAATCATCACTAATTATGAGATCAAGAATGTAGAGAATTTCAACTGCTATCTAGAAATGAAGATTGATAGAGATTCAACTTCATTAACATTGTCTCAATTTCTCTTTGTAAGAAATCTTCTGAAGAAGTTCTCAATGAATAACTGTCATTCTACATTCACTTCTATGAAGAAGAACATTGATTTCATGAATGATGATGAGAAATCAATTACATACACAGCAGAATTTACTCTACAGTTCTATCAATCCAGTATTGAATTCCTGCAATATCTGGCATTCAATACACATTCTGATATGAGCTTCGCCGCAGGATTTCTTGAACAATTCAGCTCCCAGCCTACATCAAAGAACTGGGCTGTATACAAGTGTACACTTCAATATCTACAGAATTCAATCAATGAGGGTATAATCTATCACAGAGGTGCTGAAATTGAACCTGTAGCATACACAGATACCGATTGAGCCGGTAGGGATCCAGGATCTCATTCAACCACTGATTATATCATTTACATGGCAGGTGATTCTGTTGCATAGCGGAGCTGCCGGCAAACAGAGGTCTTCAAGTCATCAACAGAGGCCGAATATATTGCATCCTCTGAGGCCGTATATGAGCTTGTCTGTCTCTGAGAGCTTCTAGAAGATGCTGAATTCATCTCATCCTGTCTCAACAATCTGAATGCCGATGATCATCTCATTCCCACCACAGTCAATGATCTGACTTATATGATTCATACTGATAATAAGTCTGTCATAGAGCTATTCTCTTCCAAAGCAATTCCACATCACTTGAAGCATATAGAGGTTCATTTTCACATTCTTCAGAATCTTGTCTGCAAGAACAAGATATCTATCTGATATGTTCCATCTGCTGAGAACACAGCAGATGAACTTACTAAACCACTTAGAACATTGAAATATACACATTGAAAAGAGAATATAAAGAAGATAGAGAAATAGAGGGATAAAAAATGATGTATATCATGACTGATTTTTCATTACTTCACATTTTCCAGTCATTTTTTGTACCTGTACTTGATTTGAAGGCGAATTTTGTATATAGCATTGTGTATAGTTACTCTGGTGAGTGAGGGTGTCAGGTCACATGATCTGGCTTACTAATTCCTTCATCATATAACTTTTCACAAAGCTAGCAATCTTTCAATCACACAAGCTTTACACCTTCCACAAAGAATACATGCCTTCAAGATAGAGAAATGAGAAAATGCCAGAGCAGTAAACACAAGATCACAGATCACTGTTAACATTAATAATAAATTGAAAGATGACTTCTGAGATGTTTGAGCTGAATAAAATCATCATAGAGAAATAGTCTGATGAGTTCAATATATATAAAGACTCAGTTGAAGATATCAGTAAGATATCAGACAATACAGAGAACTTAAGTGACTGAAATAATAATAGCTCAGTAAGTGAGAAGACTTGTATAAGACTTAAAATTATAAGACTTCAGTATGAGATTAAGTGTATGAAGATCAGTAGAGATAAGACTTTTATAAGTAATAAGATAAGAGTGAATCTGATAGAATATTTTTATTAGAAAGAAAAAATATCTATTATAATAAAAGTTCTTGAAGAATTCAGAAGTTAAGTAAGACTTATTAAAAGATTAATAGTTCTCACTAAATTTATTAACTACTTAATATAAAAAGAGAAAATTCTTTTAACTGCAGAATAGTCTGAAATTAATAATATTCTTAAAGATAATAATCTTAGTAAGAATATTATTATAAATATATAATATTTCTGAAAAGAATGCAATCTTTGATTATATAATTATATATAATCTGTAATTATCTCACAGATCAAGACTTATTTTACTATACTTAAGAAATTCAAGTTATCTACTTATACTCTATAAACTATTATAGAGAATAACTTTTCTAAGAGATGTGCTATCTGTAGAATCTATCTGTTTGAGAAACTGATTAGTATAACTGCTAAGTTAAAAGACTTAAATTATACTTTCATTGAATATCTAATTATTATAAGAACTGATTATATTTATTCAAAATATAAGATTCTAAATGTTATGTTTTTCAACAGACTGCTTATAGAAGTTAACAGAGATTGAGTCTTATTTATAAGAAATTGAATGAATTAAGTTGATAAAGATAATACTTAACTTTTAAAGAATAATTTTATAAGTCTATACTATAATATTCTTTTACAGCTCTTTACTGTGAATGAAGTAAATACTGATATATCTAGAAATTCTATCAACAACACATAAGATAAGAATAAGAAAGATAAGAATAAAGAGAAAGATAATAATAAGAATAAGAACACTGAATTCAAATCTGAATATAGAGATAATAACATGAGAATCTGCTATCATTGTCAAAAGATTAATTATATTCAGACTGACTGTTAAAAGAAATACTCTGAGAAATATTCTTCAAATTTGAATTTCAATATCAATAGAAATAAGAATAAAGATAAGAATACAGAGAATACAGATACTACTTCTATTTACAATATTATAAAGTAAGTATTTTACATCAAAGAAAAGATCTATGTAAGTAATTAGATAGAAAAAGATATCTGAATTCTAGACTCTGAATCAGACACTTATATTACATCTCACAGAGATCTTATCATAACAAAACCTCAGAAGGTGAAAGTGATATTGAAAATAGTAGATGAAATGATGATTTCTGCTGCAGCTATAGAAGATATAAAGATTTCAGTGAAAGAGATGAATATGCTGTTAAATAATATTCACTATGTCTCAAAGTTAGAAGTGAATCTTATGAGTATGAGTAAGCTTATATATCAGAGTTATATCTATAAGCAGTTGATATATGAAAATAATCATACTATGTTAATTATGTCTTCTAACTGCATGTTCTCATTTACAGTAAGATTAAATGAGAATAATATCTATGAGATGAAAAGACCAGTTATATACAGAGACTTGATTCAGTTTACTATGCTTAATAATGATTTTAAATCTGTGAATACATTACAGATGAAAGATGACACAATATTAACACTATCTGAAAGAAATGATACAAAGATTATAGAACTTACAATGATGTAATAGCATTAAAAGCTAGAATATCTGAATCTCACATATATTGCAAAAATAACAGCAGATTCATAACAAGAAATAAGAATAAAGAGTAGCAGAGCTTTGCCATTCTACAAGACCTGTGTACAGGTAAAAATGACATGTTCAATCTTCACATCTATGACATGAGCTGTTAAGCTGATAATGAGATTCTTCATTGATCTGACAGAGAGTGAAAAAACACTTTTCAATGAGAATGACACTCTCACTAGAGAAGATGTAAGCTACTGATTAAGTATAATGAACAATATAACTTATTATAGATGAGTAATTCTTATAATGAGAAAGAAAGAATCTACTGCAAGATTAATAAATTTCATCACAGATATTGAGACAACTACACAATGTTAAGTTAAAACTTTACACTGAGATGATGAAGAAGAGTTCAAAAGTCAAGAACTTAAGATCTACTGTCAGAGTAAAGAAATAGCATATGAAATGACTACATCTAACATATCATAATTGAATGACTTAGTGAAACAACATAAATCAAATAGTTGCAGAAAAGACATAAAGCCTACTATTTAATAGTGAATTAGAAAGAGAACTTTGAAAT